ACACGCAGTCCACTCCATCAGTATCCCTACTCAGGCCTAATAGAAGCTGGATAGAAAGAAATGAATTGAGGCTGTTTACTTCTTTGTAGAGTGAAAGTACAAGACATAATCAAATAATCAGATGGATGGTCAGACAGATAGCCTAGGCTCAGCAGGTTCTACTTCAACCGTGACAACAAAAGTAAATAAATACCTGGAATGAACCTGCTGTCTTCTTGGAGGCTCCCAGGTAGAAGGTGACCAGGGATCCAAAGGTGTTGACTGGAGATAAGAGCGTGTTAGTGCTGTGCTGCTTGCTGCTGAGAGCCTGGTACATCCACAAGCCCAGAACATTTAATAGCTCTGCCAAAACCAATGTCCTCTCTGTGATGTTTTGCCTCTGTACATCGACTTTTGATGGATCCCTGTGGTCCGGTGTCAAGACTTCATTGTCAAGGGGAGCCACAGGAAGTGTCTCCAGAGGCTTAACCGTGGGGGCCTGCAGGGTCTCACAGCTGACATTCTCGGCAGCAAAAAGATAGAAGGGGTGAACGTAGACTCGGTTGGCTTGGCTTCCTGAGAGGCAGCAGTATAGTAGGAGGACCAGAAGAGCTGACCAGAGCCTCTGCATTTTACCTTTGGTTGGAAGTTACCCTAAAATGGTTGTCTCTGTTGGTGGGGGAGACACATATTTAGTTAGTTCAACCTCAATCACCTCAAGTATAACTGACCATTTTCTGTATCAGCCCGGTTAGGAGAGCGCTGAGTTTGACGTCTTCTGGGAATGTTACATGACTTTTTCGACAGCTTTCATCACAAATCAGGCTCAATCTGGTTTTCAGCTTGTATATGATTGGCTGGCAGGAACACTGGCCGCAGATCCTGCATGTCAGAGATTGATTGAATTCTTTGTGTGCTTTCTCTCCTGCTGGTCAGTGAGTGAGAGCAGACATTACCCTCGGCAACAGAGGTCGCATAGATAATGAAGACGTGTGTGTGTGTGTGTGTGTGTATTTGCATATGTTCACTGACCCAAATAAGATGGGAAACTTTGTATCGTATAAAAATTTATCTTGCAACGACAGGTACAAACTTATTTGTGTGTTTACATGACAATTCTATATATTAAAAAAACTATATAAAAAACCCCAAAACACATAGAATGAAAGAATCAATAGAAGTACAAAACAAACTTTCACAGCTGCATAAATGTATAATTTATTTTATAGGGCCAATTTTACTGGACAGTTTTCTAAAGTCAAGTAACAATTTTCATTAATTCTTTCAAGGATTAGTCTACAAAGCTGTGAAGCAGAGTGACTTTGGTAAGTGCTCTCTTATGCAAAAATAGGACTTTATCCTTTGACTTGAACATGCATAAGTGTGGACTGATGAACTCCTAGAAGCGGTAAGCAAACACTAGATTTTCATCTATTAGGACATGTACCACAGGACATGGCCTTGGTCCCTGATCAATAAAACCAGTGCACTCGATGTTGTGTACCTGCTTACCCTATTACAGAGGTGGTGAAAAATGGGCTACTTCACGACTTATGAGGTTCAGATATGTGAATAGTTTTCTTGAAAATCTATTTTTCATAAAATCTCTTTCTGTATATATAAATTCTCAGAAACAAATTTCAATTTAATTTCAATTTCAAACATTCTTGCTTTTCAACACATTTAGTTTTTAATTCAGCAAAGCACTCTGGAAAAAAAAACAACAGTTAACAGTTCAAACTACCACACAATCAAAAAGCAATTAGTGAAATAAAGAAAAAAAAATTCTCTTACCAGATGGGTCTGCTGTTGTCGCTGGTGAATGAGGTGCTAAGTGAGGTCCTGACTCCTCTGCACTCTTACTTTAACCCACCCGGCCAGCTGTGTGCTCCCACTCTAGTTACTGATTAACCAAAGTACCATTGAGTCAGTCAGGGGCTCTCCTGTCATGACTCACATCCTGCTTTGTACAGACAGCGCTTGAGATATAGATAAATAGGTTTGAGAGTAGGTTTGGGAGACCACACAGTGCCCTTTTATATAAGGACTTTAGGAGAATGGTGCAAGAAAATCCTGAATGGGGTGAAAAGGAGAGCTCAGCTTCTATAAAGAAGTGGGAAAAGGAGGGATAAACAGTCTTGTTTCAGTTTGCCACTTTTCCAGGGTGATTCACTGATAAGTCACCATATTGCACATGTATTTATTTGTATGGGGGGGGGGGATATTGTGTTCTGTATTGATTACGTATGTTCTTTGGAGTTTTTGCTCAACCTAGACATCAAAGAGGAATTGAGGAAACAAGTTTCATTTAACCCTTTTAAGATTTTCTTGCTTTTTCTTTTTACCATAATGGATCATATGTCTCACATTATTCATTCCATATAATGCACATTTCCTTTTTAGTGTACTTTTAAAATAACACTCACTAAGCCAGGTTAACAGAGAGACTCTGCGGACATCTCTGTAAGATTTTAATGAGTCTTGAGGGTGTTATCATTGGAACAAGAACTATAAAATAACCCCACCTGTTCTGGGAAAAGAGCAAACACTTTTCAAATGTTCAAATAGCTCTTTATGAGACAATGCGTTTCATATTGTTTTATCTTAAAATTATTATCTGTACAGAAAATCCGTCACACTCACACCTGATTCAACAGGACAGGGCACACTAGATTTTCTCACCGGAGAGAACCATCATCAGGTCAAGTGTTTTACACTCCTGCTTTTATCTTTAACAAACACTGTTACAGCGTTAATGGGATTAGAAATTTTATTTGACCTTTCACTTCATGTAATGCTTATAACAGTGCGAAGGATTGTTCTTTTATTTGTCACTAATCTCAGACTAATACAGTATGTCTTTTCTAATATCACAGTCTCTGCAATTGTCCTTTAAAATATCTAAGAACTTTCAGTTCCATTCAGATATTTTTTTAAATAGTGCCTCAAGATGCTTTAAGTTACAACAATAGAAAGAATATCCCAATAATCAGATGAACCTCTGTGAGCAAGCACTTGGCAACAGTAGGAACGAAAAACGTCTTTCTAACAGGCAGAAACAGACTCAAGGAGGTGCAGCCATCTGCTGCAACCAGTTGGGGGTGAGGAGAAAGAGAAGAGACTCAAGAGAGACAGGACACGCTATGGGAGACAAAGCCAGAGCTAAATAATGACACACGGAGAGTAAAAAGGGAGTAGAGAAGAAATGCTCAGTGCATCATGGCAGCCTAGGCCTATTGCGACATAACTATGGATGGTCTAACAATAAGCTTTATTGTAAAGGAAAGTTTGCACTCTAATCTTATGGTAGAGAGGGTGTCTGCCTCCTGAATCTGAACGGGAAGCTGGTTCCACAGCCGAGGGGCCTGAAAGCTGAAACTCTAGATCCACGAGTAAGCCAGCAGTCTGGGAGCAAAATGCTCTCCACCCCAGGGAAGAGGGTAACACCACCTGGGTCTGGGTGCAGTTTCCCCCTCTAGGGGCAAGGGTACCCAGACCTGGGGTATAGAGTACGCTTGGGGAGTGTGATTGTGTGTACAGTGTCTATTTATGTCTGTCTCCACGTTGGGTGAGTGCTGACTATTTGCATATGAGAGCATGAGGGTGGGAATGAATTTTTGTATCTGTGTGTGCCTGTTTGTTTGTGTCTATATGTCAGGTCGGGTATCAGACGCCACCTTTCTAGGGTCATCTCAGGCCCTCCATTGTATGGAGGCCTATCTCCCCCCACCACTCCCCCTGCCAGTGGCAGACACCCTCAGTCGTCGGTGCATTGGTGGTTCTTGGTGTCCGGG